TTTAAGAATTACTAAAAAAAAAAAACCTTTAAAAACCTAATGTTTATGTAACTTTACATATTATTAACTAATTTTAAAATTGTCTTTAAAAAAACACAGCATTTTATACATCTCTACCATTTTTATACTCTTCTTACACTGTAACCAGTGATTTTTGCTGACACAACAAAACCTACATGGGATGAACATCAGTCATGAAGGCAGTCACTCAGGAAGCTCTCACCAACCACCCTACATCACCAGTGCTCCAACCTAATCACAAGCAGCCCAACTTCCATCCTAAGTTCATGCACTGCTGATCGGCTCAGCTACAATCCTTCATCTGGGCTCTTTCTATATATCCATCTGCTTTGTTCAGATGCTCAACCTGGTACAATGAAATTCAATGTATCCCAAACACAGTGCTTTGGACATAGCAGAGTTTCAACTTAATAAATGAATTTTTGTAAGAAAAAACCACTAAACATGAAAATGCAAGCTAACAAAAGACCAGCTCTCAAAATCATTTCTAAAAATTTATTCTAATGAAAGACTAGCACTTCAATACAAAATAAGGTAATAAACAGACAAAAAAAAATTATCTATTGCAACCTATTAAAACTAAGAAACACAAAAGAATAAAATTAGAGCTCCAATACTAAAATGCAAGAAAATCTTTTAAGTCTAGTAAGGTATCATAGAATTATTCCTACGAGTATAAAAAATAACTAAGAATGAGACTAAAGACAACAGAAAAGTTACATACTGTCAGTTTTACATCAGTAACAGTATGTGCTCAATGTATATGATCATGAAAGTGGACAACATGCATGAATCAGCTGCAGATACACTGAAAAGAATGTAATAAAGAAAATTTATTTAATGGTACTATGATCTGTGATACATGATCACCAGGATGAACAATGTTTTTCTTAGGGGAAAAAAAAGAGTGACACATCTCAGATTTATAAGATTAGTCAACAATAACTCTTCTTCGGAAAGATAAAATGGCAAAGGATTTCAAAAATTCATGTATTCTATCCCTCTATCAACTGTATATCTGGAATTCAAAAAAATTATCTTCTTCTTAACACCAGGAAATAAGATCACAAATTACTTTTATTTATAATTATAATCCAAACATATACCAAAATAGTATCATTAAACTATCTGAGACTAACGAATCCAAATAACATTCTTATAAAAGCAAGGCCAATTCTAAGCATTACAATAAGTCCTGTATACATGGTTTCTCAACTTAAATTATTTATAAAGATCAAGTAAGATTCTAGAAGTAGTACAACCTTGAAAAGATGATGTGTGCTAAGAACTGTTTTCATATGAGAAGAAATATTGCTTAATATAAGGCACATCACATTCATCCACGTACATAGTTTAGCAAAATAGAAAATGGATAAATAGCACTTTTTGAATGGAATATATCCATATTTCCTATGAATAATTAATCAAGTCGCCTCCAAGGAGCGGTAATCCCATTATATAACAGCTAAGGAGAACTAAGGCATGGATAATTATATTAATTAAGAAGGATTTTTAAAGTGATTCTCTAAAAGGGAAAAGACAGCACTGGAATTCAAACTGGAACTTCTTAAATCCATATGTACAGCAAAAAGACTTAAAAATATATGATCCAGTATGAAGATCCTTTAGTTATTGATATATAGCTACAAGTGTCCAGAACAGAGACTTGGAAATAAGTACTCAAACTGGATCTCCCTGATGACTGTACTGAGGACACTCAAATGCACTATCTACTGGGAGTCTCAACCTTATCTATATGAAAAAAGCAACACAATTTCCATACCAAAGGCATTAAAGGATCATGACATTTAAGCTGAGGGAATGGTTTAAATGGACGAACATGTCTTAGACAGAGTCCTTTAAACAAAATGTTCTAGACACAATAAAATTAATTTTAACAAAGAAAATGGAGTAAGTCAATTTCTTTTAAACAAATTCATTCTGGACTTAAAATAATTTAATACTTATAATAAGATAACGGTTATTTGTAACACTATGCCATTACCCAAGTGACAACAAAAAGCACAACCATGACACATCATTTGTAAAGAAATGACATGGCATTGCTTTAAAAGACCTCAAGTAATTACAGTTACTATTAATCAGCAAACCTCCACTCTTTGATAATGCAAAACTGAATGAACACGTTACTAAATACCCCTGGTTATTTTAAATGCATATGTTTCAGGGGACATAGTCTTAGGGCTTCTATAAGATAAAACAATCTTCTGAGGAAGAATCTGGGAAGGAATATTTTGTTGTTGGTTTTAAGAAAAGGTAGTGGCATCTAAAATTCAGAAATATACATTTAAAATGTTCAATAATTTTTACATTCCAACATTTCTTTTACTCTAGATAATTTCAGTTTTACAGCATTAAAAAATTATATCTTGCTATTTTACAATCTATACATGATAAAATGTATAACTACCTATACATGATATTTTACAATCTATACAATCTATAAAATGTAAGATATCTACTTACATTTTATATGGACATTACTGTTATAAAAATTAAAACCAACCATACTTAAATATCTGATTTGACTGATTTAGAAAATTCTATATATCAATGATTTCAAATATAAAAGTTATGCCATAACAACTGTGAGAATTATTTATAATTAAACTTTGTACCAAAGTATTATTATTAGCCCAAACTGGCTAGTATTGCTATTTAAAAAACAAAAGTTAATTCCCTTTGTACATCATAAGGAGATGTATAATTTATTTGTTCCTATTTAACAGCTGCTCCTGAGAAGACTAAAATTGTCAGCAGTTGTTCTTTCCAATGTTCCATTTAAAGCAAAAGTAATTTCATAATAAACATTAATAATAATCTTAAGTAGAATTTACAACAACTTTGGTGCTTCTATAATCTTTTCAACCCAAGATGAGCTATCAAGCACCAAAGAGATTTAAAAAGCAGTTCTCGAAAAAAAAGCAGACTTCCTACAGCATATGTATTAAAAACCTGTTTTATTATATTTTTCCTTTAGTATGAATTTGGTGCATTTGTTCTCTTTTCTAACCTTTAGCATTTCTTCATGTATCCCATAATGCCCGTATGAGCTGAAATAAACACCATCCTCATCCTCCTGGAGGTCTGCAATGGCAGTAGATGACGAGCAGGTTCTGACATCTGCGTTCATCACAAAATCCTGAGCAAATTGTCTGTAATCAATTTGAAATACGCCCTTGAGACAGGTTTATTGGACCATGAAAAAAGGAAAGGCTAGAGGTTGAGGAAGAGGAAGGAGGAGGGAGCGGAATGTGATGAGCCTTTTAAATCACATCCTATCTGAAGCAACTGAAAGCTCCCCCTGCTGGATCTTAAGCAACGGCATATTCAAATCCAGTTGTAAGCATTCCTTCCTCAAAACATAAAAGCACAGACAATTACAGATTATAGGTGTTTCTCTTTCACTTGAATAAAATCAGCACATTATCTTTACTCAACTTTATTTCTCATATTCTGAAATCTTATTTTAGCAGCTTAATCAATGAGTAATATATTTCAACACTTATTAATATTCTTTAAAACCTTATTATCTCATAGAAGAATTATATAGGCAGAAAATGGACCCAAATTGAGAATTATTTACATACACCAACACCATCCACTCCAGCTCTAAAACTTAGCTCCCTCTCTGATCATAACATATTAAGATGGCAGGTAAGTGGATGAAACAAGGGTAGCCAAGAATTGATCATTTTTAAAGCTGAGAGGTGAGCACATGGTAGGTAGAGCATTCTCCATACTTACGTATATTTTGGAAACTTTATAGCAGTACATTTAATCTATAAGGTACGCATAGGGGAGAAGTGCAAAGAGGCAGACAGTAGAGTTGTTGGTGTTTCTAGGTTACCCAACATAAAATACCAGAAACAGGGAAGGGAAACTAATCAGCTATACTATCCTTCCTACTAAACATTCCGGCAAGCCATCAAACCGTGAATACTCAGGCAACAGCAATCAACTTACAAATCCCACAGATGAAGCAGAATCTCAGGCCCTGTCCCAAACCTTCTGAATCAGAAGCTACTGTTTAACAAGATCCCCAGATGGTTTATATGCACATTAAATTCTGAGAAGGACTAAGCCAGTAGAAGGCTAATTTACTCACTGGAGAAAACCATCCTATGTAACTAGTTTTCTGATTAAATACTATATCATAACTACATTTTGATTCTTTAAAAAGAAAAACTGCAATCCTGTATTTCCCACAAAATCAAAAAATATTAACCCTTCCACTTTAAAAGCCTAAAGAGAGGAAAAGTAAAATGGAGAAATCTATTAGAAACAGGGTAATTCAAAGGAAGGCAGTATCAAAGAACAAAAACACTTAAGAGGACAACACTACCCAGAATAATTATCATTAGTATAAGAATAATTATAAAGAACTATATAAGAATAGGTAAAACTACAGAATTTAAAATTAATCAATTATATCTATAATGTATAAAAATGTTGCGTCTTTAATATTACTAAAATTAAGTATTTACATTGTACTTTCCAGTATATGAAATGTTTTCCCATAGTCTATCTTGTCATTAGTTGTATGATTTTGGGGTCTAAATAATTAATTTTCTATAAGATTGATAAATTACTTCATTCTTTGCAGATCTTCACGTGCTCTAGCTAACGCAGTTTCAGCAGACAGCGCCCTGGCTTCCATGTGTTTCAGTTTTTCAACAATGGAGGTATTTTCAGTAAGTCCATTGGGGTATGAGAATGGAACTGATACCGGTTCATAAAGATCTTCTACATCTAAAGAAATAAATGGAAATTATTATCAGGTCATCTTATAATAATGAAGCACATATAAATATGTTAGGAATAAATATACAGAATATATACTAAGTGCCTATTATGCAGCCAACTGAAAAAAAATAATAAAGGTACTTTAAATTAAATAAATGATATCCACACTGTTTTAATTTAAATATAAAGAGCATGCTGTTAGTCTTAAGTTTTTCATTAGTTGGCCAAATTGAACACATATATAAGTATCAATTATACTAAACCAAACCCAGGAAGAAACAAAAAGTAGAAAGAAAAAACCCTAATATTTACTGATCACCAAGTATCTTTCAAGCATATACATCACATTTCATTTCCTCAAATAAAACCTTAGAATGTAAATATTTTTTCTTATTTTAAAGCATGGGGAAAATAAGTTTTAGAGTAATTAAGTGAGCAACCCCAAATCATATGGCTGTTAAATGAAGGAACTAAGAGTCAATCTCATGCCTGCCATGATCACTCAGTTGTGGTAGTGTCTGCTGGACTTCTCCATTGAAAAGTTAACATCTCCTTTGTAGTTAATAAATTTTTTGGAGGATGATACTTTGAATTATGCAAATCCTGTTCTGACTTAAATTTTTGTCCACTAGTGCTCCTCAAAACTGTCAAGACCATCAAAAACAAGTAAAGCCTGAGAATTTCATAGCCAGGAGGGGATTAAGGAGATAGGACAATTAAATGTACTGTGGTATCCTAGATGGGATCTTGGAACAGAAAAGGGACAGTAGAGAAGAACTAATGAAATCTGAGTGAATAAAATGGAGTTTACTTATTTTTTTTAAAGTATGATATAATATTTGAAATATATTCCACAAAAGATATATTCATCTCACCAAATTGAAGTAAAAGGTCATCTTCTAGTACTGGCTTCAAATACTCTTCTTTCTCCCAAGGCACTGGGTTGTATATGGAATTCATATACTCAACTGTAGGATTCTGGATGTAAAATTAATTGCATATTTTTTCATTACATATAATCACAAAATCCCCCTAGCAAAAACTAGGAAAATTGAACAAAAAAAAGGCTATATTACATAAAATCTCTACTTAAGAAGTCTTTGTTCACCTGTCATTTCATTAACTTGACTGGATGAATGCTTAATCAATGGTTTCAATGCAGTTTTATATTGTGTGGATCTGGAGGAAGTGGCAATACAAATACTCATTTGAATAGAACAGACAGAAAAAAGAACAAAGTATTTGAAAAATAAAGAGAGCAACCACAGTACTTGATATTATTAGAAATTATTTCTGATTTTACAGAAACACTATCAGTATTTCTCTTTATCTGACTCTGAATTACTTTTTCACATAATGAGGATTCACCTCTTAGATGCAGTTAAAAATGACACTGATTAAGCATGGTAAGTGTCCATTTCCCTGGTACTGTATGTTGTGGCAGTTTCTAAAGTCCATGATTCCTCCAACATGATGACTACTAAATTTAGAAGTTCTCTGTATAGTAGTTGCTCATATTCTTTTAAAAATCAGTACATTGATAGTCACCATAGAAAGTGTTATTTCAGTTTCTAAACAAAATTATAAATTAAGCTACCAACTTACCTTAAGTCTAATAAAATTTATTAGTTTGATATATCCATAGAATTCAAGTCCTAAAGGAGGAAAAACAGAAAATTCAACTATTTTAAAATAATGAGCTTTCTTTAATTGACCTGCTCTACAGAGTCTTCTCTGGTTAGACAATAAAATATTTCTGTCCTCTAAACTACAATTTACAATATTTTGAATTTCTTATTAAGAATTAAACATAACTTTGATACTTCTGAATACTTTGAGAAAGAAGCATAGATAACTGCTTTTATAATGTTTTCCTTGCATTTCTAAAAACTGAGAAATTAATTTTTAGAATTCTACTCATTTCTAAGAATAATACAAATGAGGAAAATTGAGTCGTTGATTTTACCAAGTATTGGGCAGTTGATATTAGAACGAAAGTTTCTACATTCCTAATTTTTATGGTGCCTACCAAATTATAATTTTGCCAGGATATGGAGTATACGAAGTATACTTGCTTTACCATTAAGTTAAATGAAATAAAGCAAATTGGAAACCAATGAGGCTTGTTATCTGGTTCTCATATTTTTCCAGAAACGAAGCAGCATTTTAAACAAGGGAAAGCAACAGCATATTCAGCCAACTATTTGTCCTGAGAAATGATGGAACATAAAAGCAAACAAATGTTTTATATGCATACAGCATAAAAAACCCTATAGTTAATAAGTAAAAAAATACAAAATTATATTTAAAGTATGATTACAATTCAGTTTTAAAATGCATATTAAAAATATTTAAAAAAATGAGGCTAAGTCTTATGAATCTAGTTGCACTTGAATTAAGATTTATAAGCATATATGTTTATCTAATGTTCTTCCCAGTTGTTAGTAAATACAGAGGACAAAAATAAATTCTGTATTTAGTTAATTTTAGTGGAATAGTGTAGGTCTTCTATATCCATTTAAAGTAGTATAAGTCTTTAATTGTTAAGTATGTTAAAATACAAGTTTTAAAAGAATCATCTAAATATGTTGCTTTTTATCAGTCCTTTTCCCATACTCTCTTATCAAACTCCTTATAAAACTCAACTTTGTATGCCTTGAAGTTCAAGTTATGCTTTGATCTGCTAAGTTGTCTTTTTTCATGACCTGCCTCCTTTTCCAAAGTCCACCTCTATGTTTGCTCTCCCTAATTCTAATATATTCTCTTGTTCTCCCTAATTCTAACATGATAAAATGCAATCACATGCCAAGGTTTTTCCTTTTTAGATAGGAAGCCAATACAGGCTTAAATATAGTGAATATTATCTAAGAGAATGACTTATAATTAATCTTTCCTCAAAGGCTACTTGTCAAAAAAATTTCATTTCCATGATAGGTTGCTGCTATATATTTCACTATATTGGATTTGTTTAAAAAAGTCTGAACTTCAATTTCACAACTAAAATTTTCTTTATTCTAAAAAATACTCACCATGTTTGTGGACCATGTTATCAATATTAAATTGATGCTGAGACTTACAGTGTGAAAATGTTTCTTCAGCAGATGTAAATAACCTGAAAAATCAAGGAAGAGCTTCATGGAAAAGTCCCTACAACACCTAAATATTGATTTCATGTTAAATATACACTCCCTCACCCTGCTGGTGTCTAGTTTTATTTCTAATTAAGAGAAAACCAACATACCTGTAGATGTCAGGAACCCAGAACTTCTAAAAGGAATTAGTACTTCTGAGTCCCATTTTACACCTAAAACAAACTAACTACTCATTAAATGTCAAAATTAATTTATTTGCCAATTAATAGCACTGAATTTTTCAAAAGGCTTTTAAGAAAGAGAAGTCCTTTTGTTTAAGATATGAAAATTTCCTACGTAAGATTCTTTTCTCCTCTAAGTGTCAACTCTGCTTTTGGAGGTTTGAACTGCCAAAGCTCAAACTGCTTTTAGAAATAAAGCACAAAATGTAATTGTACAGCTGGCATATTTCCAAAGTGCCATATTTTCTACAGTGATCCTGTAGTGTTCCCAAAATACTTGTATTAGAGACACTATGAGGACTAAGCCTCTTTATGACCTGCGAAGCTGAAGGACATGTAAGAATACGTAGCAGAGAAACTGCATAGCTTTTATATGCCTCACACATATGCAGTTTTCAACAAATGTTTACCAAGATAGGTTATTTCTGCAGTATTTATGCAGCCTATCACAAAAAAGTACATCCCTGACGCTCAATAAATTTTGACAGAAGTATACGTATACTTTCTATACCTACTCAAAAAAGACGACACATGGGAACAATGACGAATTAAGAGCTAACATGGATTAGCATCATGCCCAGATTTAAGGGAAACTGGAAAATGTTTATTAAAGTAACATTTCTTTATTCTAAATGCCAACCAGGCCTCTTCCATGCCCACTTGCCCAGGATAGCAGCCAAAGACAACGCTTGAGATGAAGAGGCAGCATTTTAAGTAGAAATAATGTAGATTTGGATATAACTTGAACAAGTTATTGATATTGCAGCCTCTTTTTCCCTAAGTGAAAAGGCATCAATTACTTCATCAACAGGTGGGGAACTCCTACCAAGAAAGATGATTCTTTAAATGGTTCAAATGGAAGTATTACACCTGAGAAGCTCTCTACTTGTCAAAGAATTAAAGAATGGTAAAGCTGGAAGGGTCCTGAGGAATTATCTAGTTTAGTGACTCCCAAATTGTTATCCATTAGAATCATTTGAGATAGTGTCCTTATAAAAATATGAGATTCCCAGATCTCAACCCAGATTGAGGACTGAGGTGCAGTGTTCGGCATCTCTATTTTTTTGTCTCAGATGACAAAGGTGCATAACCAGATTTGAGAACCACAGGTTCAAAACTCTATTATTTTACACATGAGGAAACTGAGGCCCGTAGACGACAACCTGATTTCCAGTTCAAGGCTCCTCCCTCTATACCATCGTGGGCCTCCCTCCTCAACAAGCCCTCCAAAGCACTGGTTCAGGAATGCAAAGGCGGGCCACTCCGGTTCCACTCCAGATGAGCAGACCACACAGACCAACGAGGCCCAGGCACCTTTGGGCTGAAGCCTGGCGCTTAGGTGGACGAACCTGTCACAAAACAGGCAGGGGGTCTGCTGCTTGTCGTGGGGAAGGTCAGCATCGTTCTCATCCTCCCAGGCGGCCTCGTCACCGCTGTCTGACAGTTCTGGCAGGTCCTCCTCATCCTCCAAAGCGCCCCGGCCGCCTAGCACACGCAAATGATCAGATTTGCTTCAGATGCCAGTGCGAAGCAGGCGCACGAAGAGCAGAGTGGGGAGAACGCTCTCTCGCGGGTGAGCGTTCCCCGACGGCTCGCGTCAGCACCTCCCCCACCCTCCCTACAAGGCCCCACCGCCCAGCTCTCCGTCCCGGGGAGGAAAGGGTCTTTCACCGGCCCCACTGCAGCGCGGCTTGGGAAATGGGCGAGCTGGGTGGGTGCTGAGGGGCTGGGGATACCCACCAGTAGCGCCCGACGCTAACGAGCACATGGCCATGGTGCCCCCGGAGCCCAGAGCGCTGGGGGCGGGGACAGGGTTGAGCAACGAGCGCGCAGGCGCCGCGGAAATCTCGGAGGCCGGGCCCCCTGGAGCGAGCGCGAGCCCGAGCGCGAGGCAGGGACAGGGTTTGGGAAACTTCGCGGATGCCTAGGACCGCGAGAACGCGCGCGCTGGCTTGCTAGCGCTTCCGGCGCGGTGTTGGTCACGTGAGCCGGGGTGGGCGGGGCGAGGGCGGGACTGTCTCTTCCCGCAGCAAGGTTGACACTGTGCGCGGGTAGAAAGCGTTGAAACGAGTGCGGAGCCTCGCAGGCTTTAACGTGAATTTCGTTTACTCCTCGGGCTGTGGCAGGATTTAACCCGAGGTCCTAGCCCGCGGCCCTTAGCCTGGAGGCGGAGATGCCACATCTCTTTTGCAGTAGGCACTACACCCTCTGTGCGTCCCTCATTCGAGGGGTGAGTGATAGGTGAAGGCAAGCCCGGGCCGCGGCGCACTCTGGTGGCGGAGGAGGCCGAACGCAGGCAAGAGCCTGGGGCTCAATTCTGGTTCCTGGGCTCCTTGATCTCACGGGGTTGGTGCTGGGGAGAGGAAAATGCAGGAGCCATTGCGGTCTTGGGGCCAAAGCCTTTTGGGGTGTTTTAAAATTTTTAATTTTTAAAGTACAGTGGTTGAGAGTATGATTCCGAAGCCAACCTTAGTCAGTTTGACTCCTACTTCTGTCACTTTAACTTCATGATCTTGAGCAAGTTACCTGACCTCTCTCTGCCTCCATTTCCTCAACAACAAAGTAAGGATAATGACTGCACTAATCGCAGGGCTATTGTAGGATAGAATGAGCTGATACATGTAGAGTGCTTAGAGTTTAAGTGTTAACTTTATCCTCAACAATGGGAAGCAGTTGACCTATTTGGTTAAGCAAGGGAGTGATACTGTCAAATGTTGAGAAAGTAACATTCTGGGTGCCATGTAAGAACACAAAAGTTCCCATGCTTCCTGTCTTCCCTTCCGACTTTTTATTCAAACCATTGCTTTGCTATGTGGAAGCAGGCAGCAGTAATTTCAGTAGGTAATTTCCCAAACTCTAATCCCAGAGGCTAGCCCATCTCCTGGCAATAAAATAAGATAAAATTGACTACCAAGGCCCACCAGGCTCTACATAATCCTGCCACCTCAACTTAACCCTTCACCCTGGGCCCCAGCCCCCAGCCTTTTATTTGGACTCATCATTTTCCCACCTTGAGGCCTTTGCTAAAAATGCTCTACAAATGGGTAGATACTTTTTGTTTCAGCGAGAAAGTTCCTTAGACCACCATTTCTAAAGTAAGTTCCACTGTCATTCCAGCAGCCCCTTGCTAGTTTCTTTTTTAGCACCTACTATTTGTTTTTGTTTTGTTTTGTTTTGTTTTGTTTGGTCTTACCTATAACATTGTGCCATGTGGGTAAGGGCCATGTCTCTTTCTGGCACATAATACATGACCTAACTCATAATAGGTAATCAATAAATTATGCCTTGTATTATTACTAAACTCTTCTCAATGTAGTCTTCTCTCTTAACTGTAAACTTCAAGAGGACAGAATCCATCAACTATTAGATTTGAAGCCCCCTTACATTGTAGGACATTGCCAGAATATCTGCTGGCTCTGCTGGGTTACACTTACTGTTTACTGATTTATCCCCACTGCCTGTGTGCCCAGAGGCTCCTAGGAGGTAGTGAATGAATGAATTCAAGGCCTTTCATAAGCTGGGCCCATCCAACATTTTTCTTCTTCTTTCCAATATAAACTCTCTTCTCCCTGTCTATAACATTTGAAAGGAAACCTGCTAAATTCCTTACTGACACCCAATCATTCAATGTTAACAGTAAAAGAAAAAAAAGAAAGTAATACCCAGGTGATTGGGCCAGAATCTTACCCCTTGAAGTTTGTCTCACCACAGTGCTGGACTTGGGAGGGAGTTGCTTTTTTTCTCTGCTCTAAAGATGAACACAGACCCTCTCCCATCATCCCACTCACTATTAAGACCAGAATGGAATGCTCCACAAGACCTGACAGGTTTTTGCATAAGGAAAGAACATACAGAGACTAGCTTAAAATTTGCCATTGAGTTTATCTGCTTTTAGAGCCCACAGGCCTCAGGATAGCCTCATGCGATCCCTTTACTTCAGGCCTCACTTCTTGAAGCCCATGCTTCTTATCACCTAAACACACAGGCTCTTCAGAGTCAAGCCCCAAAGGAACCCCACCTGGCAGGAGGAAGATGTTCCATCTCCTTCCGAAAGCCCACTGGCTTGTATCCTCCAGTGTCCCTGGAAGCTTGAAATGTATTTGGCATATTGTAGACCTTGTAAAAATTGACTGAATCACTCAAATCACTGTACTTCCCCCAGCACTAAAGTTAAGTTTCACCACCATCCTTTGTTCAATGATGGAAATTATTATTTTTTGTATTTATTTAATTTATTTTATACGTGAGGCAACCCTTGGTTGACCTCACAGATTGCAAGGACCTTGTCAGCTTACAATCCTTTTTTTTTTTAAAAAAAGCCTACAGCACCTGGTCTTCCTAGGTGGTCTCCTATCCAAGTACTAACCAGGCCTGACCCTGCTTAGCTTCCGAGATCAGATGGGATGGGGTGTATTCAGGGTGGCATGGCCATAGCAATGATGGAAATTAGCACTGTGTACTTTTCTTGACTTTGACCCTTCCTTCTGTATCTTCCTTTCCATTTCCATAGTTTTTAAAATGCAGCACTTTGAGATGCACTTTTAGCAGCTATGTGAACATTTTGTGGTTAGTCATAGGGATCCTAAACCAATGGAGAAACCTAAATATTTCAATTTTATTCATCTACAGCCTGTACTGATCCAACAAAAATTAACCAGAACTTCCTGGAATTATACAGATAATAGATAATCTTGCAGAGTGGTAAAAAATACAAACTATAGGATCAAGCTAACTTGGGTTAGAATCCTGGTGTGGTCATGGCTTGTGAGAGCCATCGGCTTTCCCCAGGTCGTAGATGATGTTGTTTTCCAGCACTTCCTTCTTCTTGTCACTTGGTCTCACTGCATTGTTCAACATCGCTCTAACCACAGTCACCACTGGCACAGAATGATTACTGGCCCAAGACACTGGTAAGGAGCCAAAGAATTTCCTAATCAACCATTCACCTGGGCGAGATTCTTGCCTATCACATAACAGAACTCTAAGGAGGAAAAAAAAGCAGAGAAAGAGATGGTAAGTTGCATTCAGATCATAGAGGGTGTGATGGACTGAACTGTCGCTCCCTGAAATTCACATTGAAACCCCAACCCTCAGTGTGATTGTAAAAGAAGACAATGCCTTTTGGAAGTTGATTAAGGTTAATTTAGGTCAGAAGAGTGGGACCCCAACCTGATAGGACTGGTGTCGTTAAAGGTGAAGAAGAGATATCAGAGATCTCTCTCTCCATACGCATACAGAGGAAAGATCATATGTGGACACAGAGGAAAGGGGTCCACCTAGAAGCCAGGAAGAGAAACCTCACCAGACACTAACCCTGATAGCACCCTGATCTTGGATTTCCAGTTTCCAGAACTGTAAGAAGATAATTTCTTTTGTTTAAACCACCGGTGTGTGGTGTTATTCCGTTATGGCAACTTGAACAGACTAATACAGGGGGTAAAAGGTTTTATTTGGGGCATGAAGAGGATTTTAAAAAAGAAGACAGCAAAAGCTACACAGGAAATTCCATACTCTCTGAACCTGGCACCACCACTTATCCCTTCCTTCAAAGCCAAAATGTGGGTTCCTCAGAGAATAATCCACCTCCAGCCACCTTCTTTCCTATCTTAGATACCTCAGTTGTCAGCCTCTTCAAATGAAAAACTACCTTCTAGGTAATAATCAATAATGGTGTACTCTTAGGCAGTATGAATACTCACCCGGGCCTAAATATGGAATAACGATCAAATTTTAATTCTTCCACCCTATCTTCTATTTCTCCCTGTTTAAAAACAAACAAACACACATACATTTTTAGTATTTAATCAAGACCAACTTGCCATAATGCTTAAGAAAAAATAGCTTGGGGTTTTGAAGATAATCTGCTTCTGAGGGTCTCAGTACAACTGACCCTTGAACAACATGGGTTGGAACTGCATGGATCCACTCATGTGGATTTTTCAATTGACCTGCACAGTTCAAATTTGCATTTTTCAACGGTCACTCCAAGGCTGGGAATCAGAGTATGTGGAGGGCCAATTGTATGTAGTTACATGCAGATTTTTTACTGTATGGGAGAGTCAGTGACCTCACGTTGTGCAAGGGTCAACTGTACTTATAAATATCCTTCCCTGGATTTTTAGATTCCAAAGAATCTGGGAAATTAAGGAAGACATCATTTAATCTTGACATGTAGTAGAGTTAAAAAGGAAATAAGTGAATGTCTGTATAGTCACCTAGCCTCTAATTGACCAATATTAATACAAATCCAGAGACAGTAAGTGACTAGTTAGGAATTTAACCATAAAAGAATAACCTCGCATTAGTCCAGAATTAATGTTACAGGCTGGAAGACATTAACCGTCTTTGGTTTTCTGGTAGTTCCAGTGGGTCAAAAGACAGATCCACAGAACCTCTATATTACTCATTTCCTAACAAACCCCACCAAATCTTAAGAGACAGTAAGATTATGTCTAGATGATGCTTTAAATTAAATTCATTAAATAAACCATAAAATTTCATGCCAGGCATCTCTATAAACAGCAGTACCAGAGGAGCTCAGGTGACAGATGTGTCTAAAGGCCTCTGAACTGAGCAGCATGCTCTCCTCTTCCTTCTTGGCCTATTCATACCATTCATTTGTCACTTAACCTGTCACATCGTTCAATCTTAGGTAGCTTAAAAAAATTTTTTTTAATGTTTTTTAGTATATTCACAGAGTTGTGCCACCTTCATCACAATCTAAATTTAGAATATTTAATCACACCCAAAAGAAACCCAGTACCAATTAGCACTCATTCCCATGCTTTCCATCTAAGCCTTAGCCAACTACTAATCTTTCTGTCTCTATATATTTGCCTATTCTGACCATTTCATATAAATGGAATCATACACATGTGGCCTTTTGTGGCTGGCCTCTCAT